CCCCCCCAACCCCTCGACTTTTTGTGACTTTGATGTTCCTCCTCCCCTCTATGAATCCCAAAGTTAACTAAAGGTCCAATGATAACAATCATAAAGCCTGCCATTTGATATAAAGAAATAAACTTTAACTAGTCCAACTAACTGAACAATTGAAGTACTTTGAGAAATGTGACATTAAGAGAATTCTAGTAAATTCCACCAAACACCCTTGCTGTCTATTATCTACAATAATTGTTAGCAACTTGTTTGGAGCGTTAAGCATTTGGAAGAAGTCTTAACGAATTCATTCCAAAGACCAAACACAAGTATAGTGAAACTGAAATATCGTTTTCAAGACTGCAGATAATGATGAAATCTATGTACTCTACTTTCCAGCGATATCCTTGGATCGAGGGAAATTTCATGTAGATCCTAGTTAAAACTTCAATTTTAATATGAAAACGATTTTTAGCTTTCAACTTACACGGTTGACTTCACAATGCGAAACCTAAATTTCGGTTGAATTGAGAAAGTTCAATAACTGCTTGAATGCTATCTTAAAGGATGTCTGTATGCTGGAACATTCATAAAATTCATCAGAGACGTCCATTTCTAACTCGGATTTCCAATGCGCCCAAATTCGATGGAAGTTATTTGACATTTTCGTCTTATTAAATTCTTTAAAGTACGCGAACTTTTATGACAAAGAAATATTTTTGTTTGAAATCGAAATCACATATGAATATAATGCTTCTACATCTAATTTCACAAATTATAAACCAAATATGCATTTATTTAGTAAATCATCTTTTCCATAATTACATTAGAATCAGATGAAAAAAACTGCTTAAATTACACAAAATCAAGGAGTTGACGACTCACTTCAAAATTTTTCATTGTTGCAAAGTAAATGGGTACAAACGCTAGCCAAATAATGCAAGTGGTGTACATAGCGAAACCAATAAACCTCGATTCATTGAAGTTCTCCGGAATCGACCGCGTCTTAATGGCATAGATTGTGCACACCACGATAAGCAACATGATGTAGGCTAGGGATGTGACCATACTCTGATCTTTGATGGCACACCGAAGGACAAGATAATTGGCTTCTAGGGGGTCAATACGGGTTGAGGGAGGATCAAATCCCAACCAAATTGCGGAAAGAGCAAATTGAAGACCTATCAGTCCCCCGGCAATAGCGAGTTGAGATCGCGGTGAGATGAAGGCCGGTCGCTTTGTTGTGCGTTTGGCGGCATCGAAGATTCGTGCCAATCGATTGGTTTTAGTCAAAAGAGACGCGTACATAATAGCGAAGCCCAAACCAATACCGACCCGTTGAATGGCACAGGCCGCTGGGTTTGGTGGAACTAATAACAGCAAAGAGGAGAAATAGCAGAGTAGACAGCCCGAAAGGAGGAGGTAGGTCAGCTCCCGTCCTGCTGCACGCACGATTGGTGTCTCGGAGTAGAGGGCCAGTGTCACGATAACACCTACTGTAGCTCCAATCCCAATGAAATTGAGCACCATTGGGACAATTGCAAACCAACTTCCAATCTTAACATAGTGGAGCTGAAATTGAAGTGGATAAAATTTTGTTAGAAGCTGAAAATATCCCTCCCCCTTCTCCTTAATTTTCATTTAACTATCCACTAAGGCATAATGATATGGAATTAATTGTTACATGCTCCTTTCAAAAGTGAAGTGATGTGACAGAAGAAGTGGATGACATTTAGCCAAGAAAATTCCCAAAATATTACTCCCTGCAACTTCACATTTCAGGCACAAAGCATGTGCTTTTAAGCAAGCTTTTATAACTTCACATATTGACAGCAAAATCATCTAAAGTTTCACATATATGACATGACAAATGCATTTGCTACGTTGGTGGATTGTAATTGACTGCAAGTACAAAATTCTATTCTTTTTTCCTTATTGATTTAGTTTTGCGTGTAATTGTATCGGTGAGTATTTTGAAGCATTATCGAAAAAGGGAGATTCCAACTTCTATTGGTCTTTAAAAACCCAATCTCCGGACTCATAACCTCCTTCCTAACGGCGGTTTGCACAAATGGATGCTAAGTTCTGTCGTATCCTGTCGAAAGAATAAACGATTCAGTGAGGAGACTGATTGCATAATTGAAATATCCAATAATTTCAAATTAAATGAAGGGAGTCACATGAATAAGATTATCTCAAAATCAATTTCACGTTATCTAAGTGGTTAAATGATTGATAAGAAAAATTATTTGCTGTTTAAGGTACAGTCGTCTCTCAATTTTTTTATTTATAGCAGTGTAAATGCTCATATTTAATAGTTATTTATGCCAAATGATAGGTTTTATAAATAGTTACCAATTAACCTTTAGTTGACTTTAATTATCAGAGGATTGAACCAGACAAAGTCACAAAAAGTGGAGAGGGGAACAGAAGAGTGATTCTCAGATGTAAAAGAAATAGTCACTAAGGTAGAGAGTAGAGTGAGGTGAGTACTATGAAAGGGATTGAATATGACAAACAGTGCGGTCATGGTAGTTTGAAGTCAGAAGTCAACTGCCGATTAATAAACCTTTTTGCGTATGAGTATATGGTGCCCAAGGTGCACCACGTGAAGGTAAGTCTATCGCACACTCCCGCATGTTCGATATGAAAGATTGGTTACTTTGGTTTTTCACTTTTGTTGAAAGAGTAGCTATTATTCCAATGTGAACGATATAGACGCTTGATAAAGCAGTTTAAGCTATCGTAATCTGACTGAGAGAGACCTAGAGGTATACACTCGATTCCCAGACAAAATCGCCTTCTTGGGATGGACAAAACGATTGCTGTTCGAGGTGTAAAGTGTGAGAAGAGGAACTCCAAAGGCGACTGCCACTGCAAAAGTGATAGAAGATAATGGGATAAATAGGTTCGACTTATTTAAGTGTGTGGGCAACGTATACTCATACGGCAAAATAAATCTAAAAAATTAACAGTTGACATTGGAATTCAAACTATCATCACCCCACTGTATGTCATATTCGACTAATTTCACAGTACTCACCTCACCTTTTTTCTACCTTTGTGTCTGTCTCTTTTACATCTTTGAATCATTCTTCTGTTGCTCCCTCTCGACTTTTGTGACTTTGATGTTCCCCAACTTTATGCCGTCCGAAGTCAGCTAAAGGGCTAATGATAACTATCATAAAGCCTGCCATTTGATATAATAATTTAAGTGCTGTACGATCAACTATTTGTCAATCATAAATAGGCCAATGTGCCAATGCGTCAAGCGGGTCTTAAGGTTACCTCCTTTACCTGATAACCGACGATCTGGATTTGATTTACGGTGAAAGATTCGACCTAATAAGCGTTAATTGAACGTAATCGTTTGAATATATCGAAATTGGGAGGATGGTAGGTATTACTTTGCGTTCCACGAAACCTAGTTTTTAAAATAATTTTTGCTGAAAACTAATAAAGTTTGCAAAGCGCCGTGCATAATATAGCTCAATATTTTTCAATTACTAATACACACACACACACACACACATATATATATATATATATATATATATATATAGGAGACTAACACATATTTGACATAGAAATAACCTAGTGCCAGCGGTAAAAGTGCGAAGAACGTAATCGCGTAAATAAATGCATGAATGATCATCCAAGTAAACAGCATCATCATTATCTACACTGATGGTGAATTAATGAGGATTTCATGGTTGGGACATATCTATACGTATACTCATACGACAGAAAAAGTCTCTTGACCGGCAGTTGACTTCTGACTTCAAACTACCAT